CAGTATTTATTAAGAATGATAATGCTTGGATGGAGCCAGTCTTTAGGTGTCGGATATCCTGTGGAAGTCTAAGTCCTTTTTTAAAATCCGGTCCAGATGCTCCAGATGGACTAATTGCTGCAGCTGATTAGAACCTGCAAGCAGCAGGAAATAATGAGGCTGTTCTGATCTGATTGAACAGGAAAACAAGCTGCAGCCACCATGACTCGCTCCCTGGAGCTTTTTAAGAGTCAAATCTGCTGTAATTGTGGCAGTTTAGACAATGCAAACTACTGCAAATGTTTAATTTGCATCTCCTCTGGCTTTGCTCTCCGCCCTTCAGGAACACATAATTCCTCTCATATGACACCATCCTGTATTTGATCTCATGCACATCCTGCTGCACTTTCCCACAACAGCTGCTTGGTCCCTGCTAAGCCATAAATGATGGTGACAAACCTGGGACTGATTTGGCAATAAATGTAAAGGGATTATTCCCTAAAGTGATAAAAGATAGGACTGTAATAAAGAGCAGTGTGGAGAACAGCCTTGGAGCTAGCTTAGCATCAGGTGTTGCTTCATGCTGCACTCTGTGTTTAACCAGGGAGCAGCGCCAAAACAGCCATTAGTGTCAGTTGATCAGAAACGTGTGGTTTTATGGACAGACGGGATGTAATGATGGAGCGTTTTCTCTGTAGGAATGTCTCTGTGGCTGAACGATGGAGAGGTGCTGGTGGGCCAAGGCAGCGGCGAGGCGGTCCCATTGAGTCCCAGACTGCGGAGCCTCCCCTCTGGCAGTCCCAGGCCGGCTCAGAGACGCAGTCCTCTGGCTTCACCGTCCGCCATGCAGCTGAGCCCGCAGGCGGAGACCCTGGGGAAGGCCAGAGAGCTGTTTGTCCTGTGTGACAAAGAAGGAAAGGGGTTCATCACAAAGCGAGACATGCAGGTAGGGCAGCTCGTTAGCTAGAATATTAATGTTTCATCTCATTGTAAAGTGTTGAGCTGAATGTCTTTCTGTGCTCAGAGGCTTGAGGGCGAGCTGCCGCTGTCCCCCGAACAGCTGGAGACGGTGTTTGAAAGTTTGGACCGAGAGAACAACGGATTCCTCACTCCTGCTGAGTTTAAAGCAGGACTTGGTGAGCGAGCCGATAGCAAACCAAGAAAACTCTTTTTTATTGGCTCCCCAGGTCCAGCTTTCCGTTAAGCTTCCTGGACACCAGAAGCTGATGAGTTGTTGTTTTTTTCTCTACAGAACATCCCCACAGCTGAATCCAGAAAAAATAGTTCAAGAGAGTAAAAAACATAAAAACTCCACCCTGAGTTTGGCCTGTTGGGCCTTAAATTAAAGATGTGCTTCATACTTTAAAGCGGAGGTCTTCAACAGGGGGTCCGCGACCCCTAGGGGGTCCACGGAGGTTCTGCATGGGGGTCGCGAAAGTTTAGCTTGATTAGACTTTTTTTTTTATATTCCCTCCTGCAATTTTTTCCAATAATTGAAATGTCTTTAAATCCACATTAACATGAATCCAACAGACTGTAGTAAACAGATAAATGGAGGCAGAAGATGTCTTTCAGTCATCAGTGCTCACATTCAGAGACACACTGAAAAAACTGTTCATCTAATTTAGTAATTACTTCTTAAAATAAGTGGATTTCTTCTTAAATTGAGCAGACACTTTGCCAATGGAATAAGACCGTTAACATTTAAAATAAGAAAAAACAACTGAAGTCTCTTATTTCAAGGATATAATATCTAATTATCTTATTTCAAGGGTAAAAATGCTCATTTAATTCGCAGATCATCTTATTTTCCGGC